ACAAGTTTCCTTCAACTGAACGTTGACAAGACGGAAGCCATACTCTTTGGCTCTTATCAACGTCTAAAATCTCATGGCTCTCACCTCCTCCCCCTAAAACTCTGAACCCGTACGCAACCTAGGCATCAGGTTCGACCCCCAATTATCCTTCCCCACATCCGGTCCCTCACCAACACTGCTTTCTTCCACCTGCTTCGCATCGCCCATCTCCGCCAATACCTCTCTTCGAAAGCCGCTGAAACCCTAGTCCATGCCTTTGTCACCTCTCGTCTGGACTATTCTAACATCCTCCTCGCCGGTCTCCCATCCACTACCATCCATAAAATCCAGATTATTCAAAACTCTGCCACCCACATTCTCACCCGCACCAAACTCCGCTTCCCGATCACCCCAGTCCTTGCCAGACTGCACTGGCTGCCTGTCCCAGGGAGGATTCACTTCAAGATCCTCACCCTTGTATTCAAAACCCTCCATTCCTCTGCACTTCCCAACCTCTCTGACTTCCTCTCTCCCCAAAACAGTGCCCGTTGCCTTCGTTCTTCCAGGTCTGGCCTCCTCCTTGTCCCCCGAGTCCTCCGCTCCACCCTCGGCGGCCGTGCCTTCAGCCACTATTCCCCGAGGCTCTGGAATTCCCTTCCTCACTCCCTTCGTCTTGCCCCCTCTCTTCCTATTTTCAGGTCCCTGCTGAAGACGTTTCTTTTCAACCGCGCCATTGGTCACCTTCCTTCCCCTCCCCACTGGCTCGGCCCCGGGATCCGTGACTGTGAAGCCCTCTGAGTTGCCGTCCTGCGTGGAGGGCGCTATATAAACCCAAGTTGTTGTTGCCTTTTTGTAAATGCTGTTTCCATGTAACCATGGATATGAAAGAGCTAGTAGGAGGCTGTTCAGTTTTTTTTGTCTGTTTATTCCTAGAAGAAGTCATCATTATAATTGTCTGCTCTCTCCACATACCCTCTAATACCTATCCTTTTACATGCACCGATCAACTCTGCTCTAACAGCCACCCCTGCCAAGCATTCCATACCCTTTAGGAGAAGTTCTTCCAAATCTCTCCTTTTACTCCCCTAGGTCATGGGTACAAAGTCAGTGACTTTATTAGTAATTATTTTGTAAGCAAACTGGGCAAAACATTTGCCCACCACAATAATGTCCCACAAACAATCATGACATGAATGACCGATTTAATCAGAAGAAGTGTTGGTTAGAACCCCGGGAGAAACTTTATTTTTTTCGAATAGTGCTTTGGGGTCTTTTATGTCCAGTTAAATAGGCCAAAGGGACCTCATTTCATGTGAAGAACGGCACTATCCAACAATGCAGCACATCTACATCTAATTTCTTCAGATCCCTGCAATATTTCCTTTTATGCAACTGTGCATTATATTTGACCCCACTTTAGATTTTATCTATCAGATTTTATTTTCTTGCTCCTCTTTGTCTCAAGAGCTGATGCAAATATAAGGTACACGTTGCAATAAGAAACCTGAAGATTTTCCCTAACCCAAGTGATTATTTTACTTCCATTTACATGATGGCCATCTTAAAAGGGATTATTGGACCAGCAACATTTGCAAATGTGCATGTAGAGATCAGCACCAGAATAGCTAACTATTGCTAATAATAGCGAATGAGGTGCTGTTGGATTTTGTGGTGGTGTGACCTATAATCCAAGGATTTGCTAGAAATCTATTAGCTACTATGATATTGTAAAAATGTTTCTATGTAATGAAATTTAACGAGGTGACAGATCATTCTAGCTTCATTTTAACACCACCTTTTTCAATTAACAGATATATGAGATTTTGAATTTGTGTCATAGTATAATTATTACAACTACTTATAAACCTTCTCGGGGTGCAGGCAAGAACAAAGAAACCTTGCGGGCATTTTACTAACCTTCTGCAACCATGATATTTCTCTTATGTTTTTGAGGTATTGAGTGACAGAGAATTAAACACACTGACAGCATTATACATGCAAGGTCCCATAGTAAAGTGGTTAGAGCACTCACCTAGCAAGTGACAGGACCTGGGTTTGATTCTCAGGCAAAGCAAAACCTTAGGCAAGTTTCCTTACGCCACCCACCTCTCTTTACTTAGCAGTAAGTTGTTAGTCGATTGCTTTCCAGGGGTAATAATAATTTGGTCACTCAATTCACAACCTTTAAGACACTACTGTGTGCAATTGGCTGCTGTGTTTCGCATACAAAATGGCCAATCCACTTTATAATATATTCTGTAAATCCACTTTACAATATATTTTGAAACGTCTCAATGACACAATAAGGTGTTATATCAAATGCAAGGATTATTATTACTGTTTGAAGAATAATAATCATTTTTGTCCATTTTTGACTATCTGTTGGTTGGTTAATGTGAGTTAGGGTTTATTCAATACTAAACTTAACTGGTAGTAGGATGCTCTGAGCAATGATCATACTGGTGCTGTGCATCTTAGAGCAGCTGATATATCTATGTATATAATATATATATTTTGTATAACAAACTTAGCATTGAACTAGAATTGAAGGTGGCACATTGTTACAAAACAACTCATTACACAACACCATCATGACCTGGAAAGCCCATAAATGGCTCAGCAGTAGCACTCAGAAGGTTGGGGGTTCAAGCCCCACGTCTGAACTAGGAATCCTATTGTCTAAGCTAACCCTCCGATGCAGTGTTGGGGGGGGGGGGGTATTGCTTTGTCGGAGGCACCATCCTTTTGATGAGATATTAAACTGAGTTCCTGTCTTCCTGTTCAGGTGGACACTAAAGATCTCCTGGCGCTATTTGGGAAAGGAATGGCATTTCTTCCGGTGTCCTGGCCAGCAATCCCCCAAATAAAAATTGGTCATTCACTCCATGGCTGTTTGTTAGACATTGCTATGCGTAAACTGGCTACTGTGTTTGCCCACAAAATACATGGTCAATCCAATTTACAGTATATCCTGTGAAGCACTTCCAGATGTCTCGATAATATTAGACACTATCAAATGCAAGGATTAGTATTATAATTGCTTTCAGAAGTTTACAATTTTTAGGTACTGTATTAAATGCAAGGATTAATGAGTGTCAAATGCCTTTTCCTCCTCCAACCTTTCTCACCACCCACAGACTTGGTACACTAGAACCCATTTTAATGCAATTTGTTGTCATGGAAGTTTGCTTATAGGTGTAAATCTGACATCTTATTTGCAACACCCCCCCCCACCCCCCCCCCAAAGAAATCTGTTTACGCACTGGTTCCATTGGCACTTCAAAGCTCTGGAAGCCTAAATGGTCTGCTTCTGGTTATTAGTACGGCATCCTGACTTGAACCCTACCTTATAAATGTAATTTGTTATTGATAGTTTGCTACTTGTGTCACTTCCTTCATGTTGTCTTTGTGCACAATGTGACAACCTGATGACCTAGATGTTGTTAGCAGCTTGGGACGTCTTTCCAAGGCGAAAGGTACTCTATAAATGCAACAATTTGTTGTTGTTATTCACTTTAGAGTCCTAGTGGTGGGAAGGATGAGGAAGAAATGGAGTCCTGTAGCTCAGTGGTTAGAGCACTCGCTTTGCAAGTGAGAGATCTGAGTTCAATTCCAGGCAGAGGGCGAAACCTTGGGCAAGTTTCCTTACTCCACACAGAGCCTAATAATAATCCCTCCAAAAGCCAAAAAAAAAAAGTTGGTCATTTTCAATCTACGACTGTTTGTGGGACATTGCTGTGCGCAATTGGCTGCCGCGTTCGCCCACAAATATACAGTGAATTCACTTTACAATGTGTTCTGTGAAGCGCTTTGGGACGTCCTCCCGACGTGAAAAGCGCTATATCAAATGCAAGGATTATTATTATTAATGGGTGAAAATGTGAACTGCCTTTGAATACAGACTGAAAAATCTTGCTGAGGAATATTGCGATGTGTTCTTAGAAATCTGAATTTTACTGCTTAGCAAATTTGTGACTTGACAATCCGACGAATAGAATGTAGATTTAGTTGTAGGCAACGCACATCTTTAAATGTGAAGCGAGTGCAATTTTAAAGATATTGCATAGCAAGCTGTCTGTTAGCTTGCAACCAGGGACAAGTGGTTTCTAACTGAAAATCAATATTTGCTGTATTGGTACCACATGCTAATCACATCCAACCATAGTTGTACTGCTTTGCTTCTTGTTGGCTCATAATTCATCAACACAAATTGCTTTCTGCCCCTATTACTATGATATTAAAAATGCTCTCTAGATCCTGAATTGGAAGGACAAAATCAAAGTTCACCTCTGCATGGATACATTCTTGCTAATTCACTTTACTAGAATCCTGGTATTTGCAGTAAATTATATTTTGGTTCTATGAAAAACCTGGCTGATGTACCTCTTAATTTCTTGAGTGTTTATCCTATTCCTTTCTGTGGACTATGCTTGAATGACATACTTATGAATGCTGTATTCCCTCTATACAAAAACTTGTCTTTAAGACTTTCTTGTGGTGATCTTCATTTTATGTCTGCTTCTTACTGCCTGCTGATGAGTGGAAATCTGATTCAATCATACTTCTGAGAAATTCTTAGATTTCTTAACACAAATATACAGTCAATTCACTTTACAGCATATTCTGAAGCGCTTTGAGACGTCTAGAAGATGTGAAAAGTGCTATCAACTGCAAGGATTATTATTGTCTTCCCCATTTTAGTAAAAATTGTTAACTTCAAGTAGGTTTATCATTTAGGTAAGGCAGAATAGCAGTAAAAGTGATTGAGGAATAGTAGAAAATTAAAATTGCAAGTGGTTTTCTTAAACCTCAAATGGTTATACTAGTTAAATTTCCAGTATTTAAGTTACAATTAAACACTTATGAGTGAATATATTCAGGAAATTGATTGGAAAAATCTGTATGTTAGGTAAATGTTATTGACTAATAAATATTGTAAAACTGTTAATAATGCTTCTAAGATTCTTAAATTGTTCCAAATATGACATTGCTGTTCATTAACAAAATCATTCTTTCTCCAGTTTGGAAGCGGAGTATTCTTCAGAATACAGAAGGTATCTGGTCTAAGATAAATGCAGTCTTGAATGGTTCAGGCATGCACTCTTTCCTTCTTTTGTCTCACCCCCCCCCCCCCACCTCCATCCGCACCCTTCAAAAACAAATCTGGCAATTGGGGGTTTCAGTAATGGGCATCTTGTATTGAGGTTTCCATGCTGTGCACAATAAAATAATCCTTGCATTTGATATTGCATGCATCATGTTCAAAAAGCCTGCTTCACAGGTAGTTGCTTCGATTGTAGTGTGTTTATGCTAAGCCTAACAGCCAATTTGTACAGCGCAATTCACTGCAAATAGCTGAAGGGAATGGTTTTATCTGGGGATTGTTAGCCAGGATACTAGGAGAAACTCCCCTTTCTTTTCAAATAATTTTGCTAGACCTTTAATACCCACATGAACAATGGCATCCTTCAAATGAGATGGTTTCACATCTCATCTGAAGGATAGTGCCTCTGGCAGTGAATAAAAAGCCCTTGCTCCACACTTTGGCCAATTTCATAGGGGGAGGGGAATTTTTCATCTTCTGCTGCTGTTAGTTCCAATTTATCATTTTTTTGTGTTCTTGGCTATATTAATATTGCTCAACTGCAGGATGTCTAGATAGTAAGTGACCTTAGAGCATAAATATGTCAACCTCTGACACAAAAAAAGCTTCCTGGGGGTAAGGAGGTGGGAAGATTAACTAAAGTAGCCCTCTAGATCCCGACAAGTCTGTATTTTTTTATTTGGGTGGGGGTCCATAAAATTCCAACCCAGCGAGTAACCTCACTTTTGCAGCATGTCGCTGATCACATAAAGTGACGTCAGTGTGCGCGTGTGCAGAAAGCTGGCTGGCTCCATCGCCTCCTGACATCGCTTGAGGCACAAAGCCTGGCAATGGAGCAGGCGAGCTTTCTGCTCACAGGTTTAGAATACTTAACTGTTTGGCCCACACCCTGTCATTCTATCAGTGCACCATGATGAACCATGTTATAATTGAATTCCACTGTATTAACCAAATGTTTGTAGTCTTCTTGCAAGTATTGCTGAGTATATAAATCATTAAAAGTTAGGTTGCAGTAGTAGGATGCTGAGTGTTGAATCCCCCCCCCCCCGATGAATCATGGCTGTTCTTGCATCCTACCTTTTCCTTTTTGTCCTATACATTGTCCTTGCCAAAAAAATAATCAAAGCAAGAGAAGATGCCAGCTGTATCACTCATGATTTAGTTCATGGTAGTATTTGAATCTGATCTATGAACATTTTTTCAAATAAAATGCAATTTTCAGGTTGATGAGGTCCTAAGACTCAACTGCACTTGCAACCAAACTGCCATACAAGGCAGTAACCTATTATTATAGTGTATGACTAATTATAGAATATTTTGGAACGTATGTCACAGCAAGAAACTTCATCTGTCTGCATTTGTACAGTTGGCAAACACTGACTGTTTACAATTACTGTCACTGTTCAGATTTACATCACCATTGATGATGAATCAATTTACTTAACTAAAACTGTACGATGCTCTTACCCCCAAAAGTTGTTCTCAGTTACCAGCCAGATTATTTTCCTAAAATTGATTTTCAGCGCTTCTGACAGCAAATAGAGGGACATTGTGAATGAGCTTCTCTTGTGTTTGCCTAATGGCTGCTCTTGACAAAGGTTAGAACTCGCCCTCCTGTCTGGATGATGTAATAGTTTAAAAAGGACCATTGGAACAAAATGCTGAATCCTGAACTATATAAAGTAAATTAGTTATTGGATCGAAAATGAACTAACAGCACTGTGATTATGAAATCCTTAATATGTGTCAATTTTGAAGTGTTTGACACTATCTTGCTAAATTTGTGCAAGAGTTCGATGGGATATGCATCCAAACTGATCACTGGCAAGTGAACTTTTAGCAAGAGAGATTTGGCTGAAGAATGCCCTTTGACCCTAATTGAGTTAATTTTTCCACAATACCCTTCCTGCCAACCTCCCATTACAGAATCAAGTTTTTTTTTTAATGAATAGTGTCTTTTCCTCTGCTGTTCTTGCCCAGTTATTATTTACCATCAGGGGAAAGAAAAATTTCTGTCCTGAAATTTCCCTTGTCAACTTTAAACCCATGTTTTCTTGATGTTCAAATTAAGGCAACAACAAAATTACGTTTGTATAGTGCCTTTCACATCAGGAGAACATCCCAAGGTGCTGGACAGTCATTGTTTCGGACCCATGCTGGGAATCGGGATTGGGGAGGGTGAAGGGCAGGGGGGAGAAGCAAGGTGATCGAAAGCATGGTCATTTAAGGAGGGTCTTAAAGGAGGCAAGGGAGGGGGTGAGGTGGAGGGCTGAGGGATGGAGTTCCAGAGGGAGGTGGCAGAAGGCCAGAATGGTCGGTTGGGTAAGCTGGAGACGTGAAGTAGGCCGGAACTCGCTGAACGGAGGGAGCAGGCAGAATGGTAGGGAATTAGGAGGTTGCAGGGGAGAAAGGCCACGGAGGGCTTTGAAGGTGAGGACCAGGATCTTGAGCTGTATCCTTTGTGTGATGGGAAGCCAGTGGAATCAGGCGAGGATGAGGGTGATTGGGTCACGGAGCCTGGTGTGGGAGAGGACATGAGATGCAGAGTTCTGGATGATCTGCATCCTATGGAGAGAAGAGTTGGGGAGGCTGACGAGCAAATGTTTGCACAGTCAAGTCTCGATGTTATGAGTGCATGTATGAGGGTTTTGGCGGCCTGCAGTATGAGATAGTGGTGGAGCTGGGCGATAGAGGTGGGAGAAGGCAGAGTGGGTCATGGCACGGATGTGGGGTAGAAAGGATAGTTGAGGATCAAACAAGACATTAAGATTCCAGACCAGCTTTGTAAGGTGGACTGTGCATCCGTGGATGGTGATGCTGTCAGCCGGTCTTGTTGACTTTCAACTGAGGAAAGTTAGCTCTCATCCAGTACTTGATGTCTGACAAACATTCTGTCAGGACAGCAGTGGTCCTGGAGTCCAGGGTGGAGGCAAAGAGGTACAGTTCATCCGCATTCATGTGGAAGTTGACCCAGTGTATGCGTATGATGCCACCAAGAGGAAGCATGCAAACTTTGAAAAGGAGGGGATCAAGGAAAGAGCCCTGAGGAATGCCGCATGAGACCGTTTGTGGAGATGAAGTGGAGGTGGTGTGAGAGGTAAGATCTGAACCATTCAAGGACAGAACTGTAAAGGTTGAGGTGAAAGGATAGGTGGTGGATGAGGATAGAGCAGTCAATGGTGTTGAAGGCAGCAGAGAGATCAAGGAGGCAGAGGGAGCCCTTGTTGCAGATGGACAGAATATCATTCGTTACTTTGATCAGAGCTGTTTCTGTGTTGTGGGCGGCACATGTATTTAGAGGGGAGGGAGAAAGGGGTTTGTGAAGGCAGCAAAAAACAGACAACAGATCTGATCCTATGAAGTCATCCTCCAACTGTACAGTGATTTGATTAAGCTCTACCTGACTTACTGTCTATAGTTCTGTTTTCCACAACATAAAACTATCATCCAGGCCCTGGAGACAGAAAAGGAGAGTAATGTGGCTAATTCCCAGTGATTGAGGACTGAGCCATGAGAACTGGTTAAATTAGCTACCATCTTCAATCTTCGCCTGCATAGAAGGGAATATAAAATGCCTATGTAATTGAGAAAGTTAAATCAAATCTAATTTTAAAGTGTAAAAGTTATTTGTCTAAAATGGTTTGGGGAGAAGTATTTGATCTAAAAATGCTGCTACATGCTTTTGGTCTGATTCTGGCATTAATTTTGGTATATTATGTATAATGATCAAACTCCAAACCATGTTGTGAAATGCCTTGATGGTAACAACAACAACTTGCATTTATATAGGCCCTCCATGCAGGGTAGCGTCTCAGAGCGCTTAACAGTGGCAGAGCCTGACTGAGCCAGGGGAGTGGGGGAAGGTGGTTGTAAGCACGGTCAAAGAGGAAAGATTTCTGGCGGGACATGAAAAAGGTGCGAGTGAGCAAGGCTGAGGGATTGAGGGAGCGTATTCCAGAGTTGAACTGGAGAGTACCCCACACTCTGGGAAAAGTAGTTGTTGGCTGTCATTTTAAAAGGAGCAAAGGAGGTCCAAACAAACTATTGGCACTGCATGGAATAATAATTTGTGTCAACTGGGATACAGGAATGTTCTCTCACTGGGAATACAAAATTGAGTAGACGAGAACAATTATCATTTCAAGTATACAGATCACACAAACTGGAGAGCTAGTCTGATATTCAAAGGCAGAACCTGTATTAACTAAATATTGCTGCTGTTTATCCCTCCCCTCTAAATACAGAATTCTGTTGAACTTTCATCTGGACCATTCAAAACCTATTTTTGCAATATATGTTTTAGAGTCCTGATATAAACACATTTCTGGGAATGTCCTGTGCATTTATTGAGTGTTAGCTGTGGAGTCATGGGGAAAGCTGGTGTATTTGCTCATCTGCAGTTTGAAACTGCATACATATATAATGGATTTTTTTTTGCTCAGCTAGGTTCATGATGCATGCAAAAAGCCATCATCATGCTTAAGAGTATCCAAGCCAAACAAAGTGCCACTTAAACTTTTGTTCCCTATGTAGTATTAATAGGGTTGTCCTGATATAAATGGAGTGTTTTTTATAGTCATTGGGGAGAAATTATTTTCCTTGTTCAGTGAGACTGTGTCCAGAGGGCATCAATTTTATGATGGCTATTAAATGGAGAGATTAGGGAAATTTTTGTTGTTGGGATATGGAATGCTCTACCTGGTGTGGTGGTTGAGGCAGAATCAATGTTAGCTTTCAGAAGGGAACTATATAGATATCTAAAAAGCAGTAAACTGCAGGGATATGGTGAAAAGGCAGGTAAATGGGACTGAAAGGGTTGCTGTTTAAAAGAACCAATATAGACTCAGTGGGCCAAAATGGCTGCCTTCTGAACTGTAAACTTTCATGGTTCTACCTATTGCAATTCCACTTTTGTCTGGAATGGAGAATCACTAACCCCAATGATTGGTCTTTGGTCACCCTCCTACTCCTGCCCTCCACTCCTCCTGATTCAACTATCAGCTCAGATGCAGATCCCTGACTGTCAATGGCCTTGGAACGTCCTCCTGATGTGAAAGGTGCTATACAAATCTAATTTTTTGTTATTGGTCTGCTCCTCCACGTCCTGTTGAGTGAGGATGCAGGCTGGCTGGCCTCTTCAACAATGCATTGAAGTACTGTGGACCTGCCTAGCACAGGAGCCATACTACTGATGCTGTCAAGAGGATCAGCTGTTTAACAATATTCTATTGCTAGGCACATCACCTGCAACCAGGAGATAGTCTAAAATACTTTACCAATTAAGTAACTTTGTACCTTTTGCAAAGGAATGTACAAAAATGTAAAAGTGCAATGACTCAGTCCTAAAACAGCAATGTATTTGCATTCAAGCTGTGCAATGATTTATTTCATATTCCAGATTCACTGAATACCCAGCTGTTACATAAAACTACAAATCTGTTTGATCTATTGATGACATTGGAAAGATTTGCTGGGGCAGCAAGTTTTCATCCAGAAACTTGACATGAAAGATGAACATTTTAAGTGCTTAAATGATTTAGATCTCGGGAATTTACCCTTTTAATCAATCTTAGTGACTTGACATTAAAGAAGTCTTGTCAATGATTATATGGAAGAATTTTTAAGGTGCCTTTTGTGTTGAGGCCATGTTATGTAATCCTATGGGTGGGGGGGTGGGGAAGCTGAGGGAAAGGAGCTGAATTTGCTCCAAGGTCATTTGCTTGGCAGCAAAATATTGCAATCTAGTGAATCCTCTGACTGTTTTGGTAGTCTGATTTGTGAGTTGGACAAGTCTGCAAAGCTCCAGACACTGCTGATGACAGATCAGCCAGCCTGGCTCATCAGGGGGGCATGGAAGGTAAAATTGGGAGAAGGTATTATTCCTACCCTGCACCTGTTAACCCTGCAAACCAAAGCCCTATCGGTAGGACAATCCTAGCAGGACAAGCAGCGGGAATCCTTGGTAGCTCTTGCTCTGAATGACAAATGGTTTTAGCTGCTTAGACTTCAGCAGCATTCTGATACACACTGGGGGTCCCCCAGGCTTTCCTCGCCAAACTGTGCGTATTAAGCTCTGGAATGGGTAAGCAGGGTGCTGCCTCCCGGGAGAGATTGGCATTCCGTTCTACAAGCAGGGAAATTTCCATATGTAAGTGGCAATTATATGTAGAACCCCATCTGGTTTAGATGCTCTTAACCATTAATAGGTTTCCATTTGTGTCAGACACCGGCTGACCCCCCAAAAAGACAATTGTGTAGATGTAGAAATGTTCCAGGACTGACGAGGTGAATGCTTAAAGGAATCTTGACGATGTGATAAGTTGTGTCAAATGCAAGGATTATTGTTCCTACTAGAAGCTGTGGGTTTGGGGATTTATTGTCTAAATTTTGTTTGTGGGTTTGATTGGATTGTAAAGGGAGGGGAGGTGGGGTGGAAGAGAAATTATTTTTTGAGGTGGAGCTCTGCTACAATTTCTCCACCTGGGCTGTATCCCACAGCAGTTTCCTCCACATCATGTTTGGGGAGGGAGAGGGAGCAATATTGCATGAAGCTATTGCTGGTATTGGCATTATAATAATAAGAGGTGGTGCTCAAGTAGTAGCAAGAGTGGTGCCCTGCTGACATTGAGATGCCATTCTTGCTGCCACGTGGATTCCTGTTAGCTGTTCTGTGTGTGCTTGCTGTGCTGCATCATGTTTCATAAGGCTGACTTTACAGATGTGTTGTGGTGTATGTTCATTGACGTTTGGCACCTCCTCAACCTGGGGTTGGAGCAAAGACAGAGAATGAAAACATGAATCTATGCCACTTCCTTAGCTTTCGCCTATTATTTGTTTAAACTTAAGACCTGGTTTCATGCAAACCAAAAAGTGAACAATGAGATATTCTGTAATGGCTTTAATTGAAAATGCATGTGGATGGCAAGAAGATCTTCCCCAAGAAGATGTACAGGTTTACTGACAGACTTGTTTATTAATTGGAACACATCCTGAGACATTAAATCAATACACTGTTCTATTTGTTCACAAATGCATAACACGATCTCTCGCTGCTAGTCACATAGTCAGTCACTTGATGTAGTGCTGTATATTAGAGGATCAAATACTCTTGTGACTCTGAACTAATTAATTTCCAAAATACAATGCTAAATATCATTCTGCACAGCGTTGAATTACAAATATCAAACTTTTGGTGCTGAAAAGCCCTCAAGATTTGCTATAATATCTTGTTTTGTGGTACTCTTTAATACTTACTATTAAGTACTCTACTGAATGCTCATGTTCTGCTTGTATCTGTTCAAATGGAACTGGGTCTAAGCACCCTGGGTGCTGCTGGTGCTGAGAGCCTGTTCTGTTTACATGAAGAGGGTATTCAAATCGCTGGTAACATGGAAATCAACTGCAGTCATCCATCTGCAAAATTTCAATAGTCTTCAGGTGTATTCTGTAATGGGCTGTCAAAGCCCAAACCTCTTTGCTGGGCTCATTACACAGCTCGTCTGTTGTTGGAAATATGATAGTAGTGGGGTTCACCTTGTTATCTGTCACAGAACTGGTTGAAAACCCACCTCAGTTTTTATTAGCTTGTATTTAACTATTGCATTTATTTTATTTCCCTTTTGACAGATCAATGTGCGGGTTACGACCATGGATGCAGAGCTAGAGTTTGCCATCCAGCCAAATACAACTGGCAAGCAGCTCTTTGATCAGGTAAACTTACCTTTTTCATTGCCTGTATGTAGCTCAAACTTCCATGTTCCATAATCTTTAACGTTTAAGAGGATTAAGTGTTTCTTTGGTTGGCATTTCATTAAAGGTAGAAGTTTAAAAGCCCTTAAACAGTTTGCATTTTTTTCCTGAAAATATTTTTTGTTCAGAGAATGAAAGCTATCAGCACTTGAGTTGTGGTTTCCAAAATGTATTTTTTTTGTGAAACAATTTCATTGTATGTGGTGGAATCCCAATTATCTTAAGAAGGTGTTCTGGGCAAGACTTAACTACCTATCGCCTGTCCTTAGTTTTTGGAGCCTATGAATGGTCTGATTAGAATCTATTCAGGTAGTTGAGTTGTTGAGTTTGCTGAATCAAGATTTGTGATTTGAACTTATGCAAATTTGCCCATTGTGTTCAAATTGCATTAAAAATGACCTGTTCCTGTTTTCCAAATGATGTGGTGTTGGAGTCTCTTGAGGGATCTGATTAGAATCTATAATCATCTACTTGAAAAGGGTGAAACTGGCCAACAATATTTGGAGTTGATTTTCCTGAGCATGCAAGTTTTTTTTAATATCAGATACATGATGTTGAAATGCAGTGGAACCCTGGTTTGTATAAAGGCAGTAATTGGAGTATATAAAATCCCATCTGGCCTTTATAATGGGGCATGATGCCAGTCAGCATTTCTGTATTCTCCCACAGCTAAGGGAATACTATAGGCCTTGGGTGAATATTGATGTATTCCCATGTGCTCCCTGTGATTTTAAAAAGTGGCTAACATCCTGGTCGTGTCACCATCATTGATGCATCCTGTGTGCCAGGGAGGTGAAGTGCTGAAGGGGATACATTTTTCGGGGGTAAATGAATGTTTGGATACCCAACTGTTTGATGGGTGAACCAGTGTTTTAACTAAGTGCTTTGTAACTCGGTTCCATTGTATTACAGTAATCTGCTCTAAATTTGGAGTAGTTTAAGGTAATCCTGCAGCATTAACTCTACATTTCATTTCAATAAATTCTACTTGCCCAACTGTCACCCGGCTATCCTAGAATCGTAGAAGTTTACAGCACAGGAGGCCATTCGAACCATCGTGCGTGTGCCTACTCTTTGAAGGAGCTACCAACTAGTCCCTCTCCCCTGCCCCTACCCCATAGTCCTGCAATTTTTTCCTTTTTAAGTACCTATCTAATTCCCTTTTGAAAGTTGTTATCAAATCTGCTTCCACCACCCTTTCAGGCAGTGCATTCTAGACCAAACAACTCTCCTCGACTCCCCTCTGGTTCCTTTGCCAATTATCTTAAATCTGTGCCCTCTGGTTACTGACCCACTTGCCAGAGGAAACTGTTTCTCCCTATCTACTGTATCAAAACCCCTCAATTTTGAACACCTTTATTAAATCTCCCCATAACTTTCTATGCTCCTAGGAGAATATCTCATATGCTTTTTTTAACAGCTTTGTTAACTTGTCCTGCCATCTTCAAAGATTTGTATATGTGAACCTCCAGTTCTCTCTGTTCCTGCTCCCACTTTAAACTTGTACCATTTATCTTATATTGCCTCCTCATTTCAAAATGCATCACTTCACACTTCTCTGCATTAAATTTCGTCTGCCATGTGTCTGTCCATTTCTCCAGGGTGTCTATGTCCTCCTGCAGTCTGCTACTATCCTCTTTTCCATGTTTTGTGTCATCTGCAAACTTTAAAATTTTGTTCTCTATATCCAGGTCCAAGTCATTAATATATATCAAAAAGAGCAGTGGTCAATACCAACCCTTGGGGGACACCACTGTATACCTCCCTCCTGAAAAATGGGCCTTATCACTACCCTCTGCGTTTTGTCTCCCAGCTAATTTTGGGTCCATGCTGCTACTGTTCCCTTAATCCCATAGGGTTAAATTTTGCTAACCAGTCTATTATCAAATGCCTTTTGAAAGTCCATATACACATTAACTGCACTACTTTATCAATTCCTAATTAAGTTTTTCTATTTTCTCAATTTTAAAATCTTTGTCTTCCTTCCTCTAACCAAACATTTTGTTAAACTTTTCATTTGGATTATCATAAAACATTTGAAGTTTACTTCCTTTCCCCTGAACAGCCGCGAGTCTTATAAAGGGTCCGTTATGAGTGCTAAACATCTCTGGGGAGCTAACTTTTGTGAGGCGCTCTACATAAATGCAAGTTGTTATTGTACATAAAATTCTGAGCAGTGGTTTAACAATCTGCTCGTTAGATTATTTTAGGCTAACCTGTTTGTATGAGTAATTGGCTGTCTACTTGACTCAATTGTAGCACACTTCCCTCTGGGTCAGCGGTTGTGGGTTCAATCCCTACAATGCGACTTACATTCTAGATTGACTGACTGTCTCCACTGGATTCCTGGGTGCTGCATTGTCATCTTTCTGAATCAGATGCAAGGCCAACTGGAAATCATCTTCTCCTTTTTCTCCTTCCCCCCCCCCCCCCACAAAAAGAGTTCTACCTTTTCAGTTTGAAGTTAAAGATCTCCTAATACCCTACAGAAAGAAGAGCGTTCCTCCCAGCGTTTGCCCAGTATAGCTGGAAGAAGCTTATTGCGCACTCGTGCTAGTCTTCAATTGCAGGATTGTAACTAACTCTGCATCATACATTGAAGTGGGATTTCATTTTTAAGGCGTTCAATTGTCTTAGTTATGGGACAGTTACCTCTAAGATGCCTGTGGCCACCTTGGTTGCAACCAATGACCAGTACACAGAAAACTTTAAAATGAGTTTTCTGTTAAATGGCTTCTAGTTTTCAATATGTACAATTTGGGCTCAAAACCTTCAAAGTCTGTTAGCAGAGCAACTATGCATGGTTTCTCTACTTTAGGTGTTGTGCCATCTCCCTTTTCTTAATCAGTAATAAGCTGTCTAGCATGTTTGTTGCCAACTCCTCAGCCTCTGACTTTCAATAACTGCATTTGATAGTCAGATTCAGTCATGTTACATATTGTGGTTGATAGAATAGGAACCGAAAAAGTAAAATATGCTGGAAAGAACATCTAGTAACCCCAAAGATTCAAAATCAGCATATGCTTTTCTTGTCTTGAAATCAAAGCTGAGCTGGCTATAGTTTCTTTTTTGTTTTTTTTAGTGATTGAAATATTTTTAATATTTTAAAATTGATGCTTAATATTTTTTTCTCTTTTTAGGTTGTAAAGACTGTGGGCCTACGAGAGGTATGGTTTTTTGGCCTGCAGTACATTGATAGCAAGGGATATACCACGTGGCTGAAGTTGAACAAAAAGGTAAAAGTTGTTAATAATAGGATGGAGAAAATATGCAGATTAAACGATTGGGGCAGCTGGCTTCTTTAATTTCAAGTTTGGATCATATCCCTGAGCTGTTCTTCAAAACTGCTTGCACTTCAGGGAATTTCATCTGTTCTCAGCTGGACCCCAAATAGAGCACCACACAACAACTTGGGGGTCCATTTCAGAGTTAAGAAACCTTGGCCAACCAGACTTGCCATGCAGAAACATGCCATAGCTCCATTGATAATGCAACTCTTTTGGTAGTGTTTGGATATGAACTGTTGCCACTCTGGCACAAGGGGAAAATGAGGTATGGATATCAATATATGCAATGTTTATGATGAAAATTAGAATAGTGACTTACAACGTATTAGGCGATACAAGTCTGAGGGATAGGCTGGGAAGGTTGCAGAGATTGGAGCCGCAGGAGAGAGGACTTTGACAGAAGTATGACTTCCATCTTGTCAACGTTCAACTGCAGAAAGTTTGCACTCATCCAGGCCTTGATGTCTAACAAGTAAGCTTGGGTGGTCGGGGTTGGTAGTTTGAGGAGGTGCAGAGGTAGGGTGGGACAAGACCGTGGAGGAAATTAAAAGTGACAACGAGGATCTTGAACTCTGTCCGCCGGGAGATGGGTTACCAATGATATCTTAAAAGGAGTGCATGGTATGGGGAAATGGCACTGAAAGGATTGTTATTTAAAAGAACCAACACCAACATGATGGTCTGAATGGCTGCTCTCTGTGCTGTCAATTTCTATGGTTCTACTATAGGTCATTTTTGTGGGAGCCTATGCAGTTGAAGGTGCAATTTAAGCATGTTTTGTGGAACAAACACGAATGCAGTGCTGAATTGACCTCTGGGTGAAATGTCCATTGCAAGCTGAGAATCTGCAGAAGACTAGAGCTTAATTTACTAACACTCTATTTAACTAATTAGGAATCTGCTAATTAAGAATCTGCTGAATGAGAACAGAATAATAGTAAAAGTTGCTAATGTATGTCAGATTCTGTGTTAAAAATCATCACTCCTATCCTTAATAATAAAAAAATCCTCCCTGGACCCATCCCTGCTCTCAAATTACTGCCCCATCTCCAACCTCCCTTTCCAAGGTCCTGGAATGAGTCATTGCCTCCCAGCTTCACTCCTTTCTCTTCCGCCACTTCCTTCACAATTCCCCCCCCACCACCCAAATTGGGTTTCCGTGCTGCCCACAGCACAGAAATAGCTTTGGTCAAAGTGACAAGTGACATTTTGTCCATCTGTGACCAGGGCTCCCTCTGCTTCCTTGACCTTGACCTTTCTGCTGCCTTTGATACCATTGACCACTTTATCCTCCTCCTCCTCTCACCTCACCCTTCATGATTCTGTCCTTGGTTGATTCAGATCCTATCTCTCACATCGTCTCCACTTCATCTCCACAAACGGTTTCTCCTCTAGCCCCCGCACCGTCTCATGCAGTGTTCCTCAGGGCTCTGACCTTGGTTTCCCCCCCCCCCCTCCTCAATGTCCATATGCTCCCCTCTTGGTGACATCATCCGCAGACATGGGGTCAACTTCCACATGTGTGCGGGTGACACCCAACTCCATCTCTCTGCACCCCTCCACCCCGATCCCACCCCCAGCTTGGGTCCGAAACACTGATTGTCCAGCGCCTTGAGATGTCCTCCCGACATGAAAGATGCTATACAGATGTAATTTGATTGTTTAAAACAAACAATTTTATCAAAATCAAAGCCAAATTTGAGGCAGTTTGATTCCTATTTATGATAATAAAATATCACACATTAGGTTCTCCGCAACAAAGTGCACATTTCCAGCCATAGTGAAACTTGTTGGGCACAGGGACACGCACACAAATTGAGCCATGGTGAAATGCACAGACACACACACACACACACACAAACATATACACACACACTGATCTGGTTTGACACACTGACACACAGACACATACTCACACACATTGAACCATGCTGACGCACACAAACACATAGACATACACAGACTGAGCCAGTTTAACACACACACGCACTGAACTAGGCTGACACACTCAGACATACCCAGACACACACTCAGACACACACCCACACATACACTGAGCCAGGCTGACACACAGACACAGTGACACCTCTATATAGTCTGATATTAAAAGTGAAAACCTGTATATAGACAAACACACAATCACTACACTTTACACACACGTAGAGACAGATACATGCTGGGTTGAAACACACATGCTGGGCTGAAACTCACACCCAAACACGCACTCAGACATAAACCCACACACGCATTGAGCCGGGCTGACACACACAAACACACAGAGACACAGACATACACACTGAGATGGGCTGACAAACACAGACAGATACAGACACATATACAAACAAAGACTTGCACACACAGACACGGGTGGAGTCCTGTAGCTCAGTGGTTAGAGTATTCGCTTTGCATGCAAGAGACCTGGGTTCAATTCCCAGCAGGGTGAAGCCTTGGGCAGGTTTCCTTACTCCACATGCTTGATAATAATCCCTCAAGGAAAAAATAAATAAATTGGTCACTTCAAACCACGACTGTTTATGGGACACTGCTGTGCTCAATTGGCTGCCGCATTTTGCCCGCACAAAAAAAATAGTCAATTCACTTTATAGTCTATTGTGTGAAGTACTTTGAAGCGTCTAGAAGACGTGAAAAGCTCTGTATCAAATGCAAGGATTATTATTGTTGTGAGTAAATCTATAATTTAGGCTCCTACATTTTCACTGTTCTACTTTTAAAACTAAAATGACAAGTTTTATTTTAAAATGAGCATTTTTTTAAAAAAGTGTTAAAGCAATGCAGAATCTAGAGATTTTTAATGTTTTTAAGATGTCTAAAGGAGGCTTATTGTTCTCATTGAAATAAGTTTTCTCTTTGCTGCTGCATTATAAATAAGGTTTCACCAACAGTGGTGCTTTTGAATGGCTTTATGTAGGAGTAGTATGAGATTGAAGACCAGAACAATTAATATTCACTGATTACTCTATAATAAAATGTATAGGATATTTTTCCATTTTGTATGACTCTTTTAAATGTAGCTTACCATGGAATACGCAAGTAATCTATCTCGCTTATTCATGAGGGCGATTCCAGAAACCATTGGATAACCTGATCTATCTGGCAACATGGTGTTGTTTGTAGTATTCTAGGAAGCCTAATTTTATAAATGTTATGCTTTGTCTTTTGATTATCCAGTTTGAGAGTCTTATTTTTCTGCAACTTGTATGTGTCTTAGGTAACTCAGCAAGATGTCAGAAAAGAGAATCCTCTCCAGTTTAAGTTTCGAGCAAAGTTCTTTCCAGAAGATGTGTCTGAGGAGCTAATCCAGGAGATAACACAACGTCTATTCTTCTTGCAAGTGAAAGAGGGCATTCTTAATGATGAAATCTACTGTCCACCAGAAACTGCAGTGCTCCTTGCTTCATATGCTGTTCAAGCCAAATATGCGGACTTCAACAAAGAGGTCCACAAGTCAGGTTATCTGGCTGGTGACAGACTTCTTCCTCAGCGGTAAGCAGATAATGGTGTTCTACACAAAGATGAAATAATGTTTGATAAAGTGCCACATGAGACTCTTACACAAACTGACATCGCTTTGAAATCGAAGGTAAATGTGGATATCGATCTGAAATTGACTGAAGGAAAGGATTCAGAGTGGCTGGAGAAGCTATTAACAAGGTGCCTCAGGGGTCTGTATTGGGACCTCTCTCATTCCTTGTATACATTGACTTTGATTTACCCGACTCAATGCAAGGTAATTATTTTGCAGATGTACCATGCAGTTGGAGGGAACTGGAATTTAGAGGTAGCAAAGGTCTTAGAAAGAGAGCTTGATGGGGTATGCGGATGGACTCCTGACTATTGAACTTGGGTTGTCTGATAAATGCAAGGTAGGAAGTATGTGTACAACAACAAATTACATTTGTAAAGTGCCTTTCTCGTTGGGAGGACATGTACTCCATGGATGGGATAGAATTTACTAAGGGTGAAGCTGAAAGAGACGGACGGGGGTGGGGGGTTGTTAGTTGACTTATTCGCCACGTCAGAACCATGTTGGGCATCATAAAATAAGGCAAATGGGTTGCTGTTATTTTGCCAAAGTCATTCTCAAGCTGACTGCTCTAGTCAGGCAGCATTTAGAGGACTCCATTCAGTTCTGATCACACCGTAAGCAAGATGCCCAGGCATTGCAGAGGAGAGCAATGAGCATATTCCTGAATGTTACTGGAATGAGCTGTGAACAATGATTAGGCAAGTTAGGGATCTTTAACCTTGAAAACCGATGTAATAATGAATTCCTGTTTATCAAATAGTGGTTAAATTGATGGAGTGGTCCAAAACTGACCAAGCATGTTGATTGATCTGATTTTAGTGCCAATTTAGATGGCTGTATAAGGTTCTGCAGAGGCAACTGTGGTGCCTCCTTATGTTACACTGCTAGCAAAATCAGTGCAGCTGTCAACGGCAGCACTGCTGTGTAAACACAAGTATATTATGGATTTGCAAACCTGTATGCATCGTGTATGCTTTTTAAAGCTGTTTTTGTTTCCATCCCTAGAGCTACGCTTTAAAAAAAAATCTGTAAACATCTGTCCTGGTAGCATCTGGGAGTTCAAAAATATCTATGATGTTGGAAAATTGGACTGTGCAAAATAGACTTCCAATATAGATTTGAGCATAGATTGATTAATTTCATGAATGGATGAAACTTTCAATAAGATTATTTTTTGTTTAATGAGGTATTAGGAGTTTATTTTTGTCAAATGCTCTGGTTATGTTCTGCATTTACTTTCCATTTTAGCTTGCAATACTTTTTGGCTGCAACCTGAACACTTTGGGCAGTGCTGTCACCTTTTTTTAAAAAAAACTGACCTTGCTGCCTCTGGAGAGGGTTCTATGTCTAATCTCTGGAGACAGCTTACCTACCTATTTGCCAGCAGAGGTAATGGCAATTCAGCAGAGCAGGCTTAGTGTCTGCCTAATGATGGAAAGTCTGCAGCCAGTCAATTTTAGCTTGTTTTCGTATTGTAAGTTCCAAGAATTGCACCTGTTAATTGAAGGAGGCACATTCCAAATGCAAGCAGCCTCTGGTGATCAGAATTCTCTCTTTGAACAGTCTCCAATCTTGTTAGATAAATGCTACATGAACTGCTGATGACTTACAGTTCTTCAACAGTTTTGAGGCAGCTGATGCGAGAAATTCTAGGTACCTGTAGATCGTAACCAATTTCTGGACAGAAAAGTTATCAAATTTTAATATCCATGAACAAAAATACATGGGCCACCCATTTTTGTCAATCTTATGCTAGACAATACATTACCTACCTGACCCACCAGAGGAATTAATCACCTAGCTTTAACAGTTGGACAATGCTAAAGAGCTTATTAGGACAGGCTTTTTTTTCCACAGCTATTGAAAGGATCTTTGCATAGGTTTATTGATCCAAATCCACTGACATTTAACAAACTTGGCTGAGTTTCAGGATTGTACTTTTTTATAATGGGTTTGTGATATTGACTATGAGAGCATCAGATCGTAAATTATAGGCATTGAATTAGTCTGTCGGAAGCTTGTGATCAATTGTGTTTAGCGGATACACTACAGAAAGTGATGGTAGATGCAATTCCATTACTGCATTTGTTTTTTTTAATTTATTGGCAGCCAAGCACTAAAATAGTTTAATAGATTTTACAAACAGTCAGCCTATTCCAATTCATGTATTAAATGTGTTTGTGGAGAGTATTAAGTTAGCATCAGCTAAGACTTGGGGACCCCAGAATGGCTTTGGGATACTGCTGAAATTTAACCACCTAAGCCACAGCCTACCATTGTTTCAATGCTAAATGCCAGCTAGCATCACCCTACTTGCTAAGGATTTGGCTTGTATGGTTAACAGAGCGGATCAGCAGGAAGATGCCTTCTCCCAGTGACTAGTTTAACATTCCAAGACCTGCTGACTCGTCAGCAGGTTGTGGACCAGATTCCGGAGACTGTCATAGAATTGACTTGATTCTATTATTCCATTACCAACACGGTCACCTTGGACACCCTGCTTGAACTCCTCCATCTCTCCCTCTTTTGTTACCTCCCTCTCCCCCTCAAAGGACAGTTCCTGGTATTGTATCACCCCTGGCAATATAGACCAATATATTCTTATTGCTATTGAGCAAAATACAGTGAATTCATATTTCAGTATATTCTGTAAATCACTTTGAGACTTCAATGATGTGATATGGTGCTATATCAAATATTATTATTAATGGACACATATTTGGTTTTGAAGAATTTGTTTTACTATAGTAACCCTTGATACCTTATTTTGCTAGTGTCCTGGAACAGCACAAGTTAACAAAAGAACAGTGGGAGGACAGGATACAGACTTGGCATGAAGAACACAGAGGGATGCTGAGGTAAGGTTTTTGAAAGTATTTTGAGTTGGGACTAGATTGTTTTTATTGTGTACCTTATTGAACTGAACCACGTTCTTCAAATTCTTAAAGCATGCCTCTTATTGAATGGTGTTGATCCAGATGTGTGTAGTTGAAAGAGAAGAGAAATATGTATTTGCTTTCAGGAGATAACTTAAATCTAAATACTATATGAGCAATGGGGTACGAGAAATTTTGGAAAGATTGACTTGCAAGAACTGATCCTTTTTGAAAATATTTGCTATAGCTAAGATTCGTTAACTTGTGTATGCAGATGTGATGTGTGCTCTGCAGTCTGACCTTGAATAGAACCACAATAATTACAGTTGGTTAAGACGTGTCAAACCAATAGTGATTTAACATTTGTTTCCATTTTAAAATCAGCATCAGACCATATTGTATTTGGGCCATGTCTTCATTTTTACAGACTATACTTAAGGACTAGAAGTGTGTTTATTCCATCACTGGTAAATGCCTGTTTCTTTGAGTCGATCGTTAAAACATTTTTTCAGCTGAATTTCTTGCACAAAGATCTTGGATTGACATCTGCAAGTTTTGGAATAACTTTTTAAGAGGATAGTCAAGAATAAATCCTGTTTTTTCCATGAAATTTACCCTGGGCTTTGGGTTAAAAACACCCTGTTTTTTTAATTACCCCCAATATGCCATATTGTTGTAGGAACCATTACCTTTTTTCATATTTCTATTGTAGAGAAGATTCGATGATGGAGTACCTTAAGATTGCCCAAGATTTGGAAATGTATGGTGTCAATTACTTTGAAATCAAGAACAAGAAGGGAACAGAATTGTGGTTGGGTGTTGATGCACTTGGACTAAACATCTATGAACACGATGACAAGTAAGAATAATAATCACAATACTTCTAGGTTTAGCTGCTGGATTTTTATGGAGATGTAGGCTTGTGCTCTTACTGTAGGACAGAGAGAAATTGTGCCCACCCTAAAGAAGCTTAAATTCTCGTGCTTCCCTAATGGCTCAATGGATAAATGTACCAATTGGTGTTCTGAGGCATCCAGATGGAAGCTGAACCTGGGACATTCCCTGATCTTAGTCAGTTGGTCTGTCAGAACAACTATGGGGTTGATACAAATTGATCTTTAGGCTAGTGGAATAATCAACCAAGGTTACCAAAACTAGAGGGACCTAGGGATTAACAGACTGACAAATATAAAGTTGGGTAGGCAGGTGAACAAAACTGAAGAAAGTTAATGGAGGCTAGATATTATAGATGGGGATGCAGAATATAAAACCAAAGAGGTGATGCATAACCTCAGTAAATTATTAGGTAGACCGTAGTTGGGAGTATTGTATCTAGTTATGGTCAACAACAAATTGCATTTATATAGCACCTATCGTGTAGGATATTGCATCAGAGATGAGATGGAAAAATTGGATTGAAGTTTACTCTTAAGATTTTAACAATTCAATTCACTTTAATCATTCTGAGATTTTTGTGATTTTAGAATAAGTATTTATCATTGGATGTGCTTCCTTGGTAATTCTCAAACTGCACAGCAATGGAAGTTGAGTTTATTTGATGGTTCAGTTTCCAGAAATTTGCCCAAGTTAATAAAGTCAGTTGTTTCATTGAGGTAAATTTAAAAATTCTCAACTATAGTGCTTGTACTTGCAATAAAAGTTACTGTATTTGTTGGTATAAGCTATAAAAAATAGATGTTGGGCAAGGAATTCACTTATTCCTGTTTTCATTGCTGTGATGCAGAAATATCTTTGTTTTATATAGCATTTATCTGGACATTGAAATAAGACTGCAGTACATTTAGGATAAATCCCCTCCATACATTTATTACATGTAACAATAGTCTTTTGAAATTAGCATGGTGTTGGTGCAACTTTTAATCCTTTTTCTCTCTCCCCCACCCCCCGTTACCCCAACTAGGTTAACACCAAAAATTGGCTTTCCTTGGAGTGAAATACGGAACATTTCGTTTAATGACAAAAAATTTGTCATAAAACCCATAGACAAAAAAGCTCCAGTAAGTATTTTTTTTCTTGTGTGCCTATCCTAGTTATTTTAGATTATACAGTTGTTGGAAATGATTTTGCTGCATGTTCAACAGCATTAAAAATTGTACAACACGCTCCAATGAGCTGCTTTAAACAGAGTGCTTTTAGTAAGGTTGTGCACAGCTCTTGGAAGATGGCATGAAATATGTAAAGGAAAGAGCAAGTCGTTTATAATGAATAGTTCGATGTGCTGCAAGTTTAAAATATTTGTAGCATTGTGTACTTTGTACATGGGGCTAAAGACGAATACAGAGAAACCCTGTTACAGCTTGTATACACTTTTTGTTACCGCTTCCCCACCTCAGTTTAACATGGCCTGTACATGGGAGATGACCTGGAAGTTAGCATTTTTTCCACATTTAATACAGCCTCAGATATTAGACCCACATTATAATGGAATTGCTGTATAATTTCTTAGTTGAACCAAGCATCAATACAAAATATAATAAATTCCTGGGTATTCTCCCTAAGGTGGTGCGATAGTAAAGGCTTTAACACATAAAACCACATAGGTAACCATTTATTGTTGGAAAGCTGGAAACCTGTTAATTCTGAAAAAGGATGAATTGGTGGCATGACCGATGTAATATTTGGTTCAGACCTAATTTAGAATCTTGAATGTATTTTCAATGCTACAAAGACTTGTTCTGAAAAGGTTATTGCCCAAGGAAATAATCCCCATATGTACATATGTGATGAGGAGGTAGTTGATGGTCCATAAAATCCTAACTTGCCTTAATGATGCTGCAATAGCCAACTAGTCGACATCATAGCCAACCACACAGTTGGGCAGCTTGCTTCCTGCATGAAGACATTAGCACACTTTTTTTAAATATAAAAAATTAGCAATGCAGAAAATTAAGGTGATGACCTAGAAATTAACCAGTTTTAGCACGTTTGCCGGCCAGCTCATGCACGTGCAGTGAAAGAGGTTCACTCACTTTTTGTTTTAAATCACTGAGTAGGAATGTGTGGGCAGGAGGGTGGTGGCATTGCTCTCACATTTCATGTTGAATTAGCTGTGCCCCAAGAAGCTTGCAGTGAGTTCCTAGTACCTATTCACCTATAGAGAGCTCAAACCACATTTGCCAGATGTTGAATGACCAACCAGCAACTATCCTCCTTGGGAAGAAGAGGTAGGTGGTGTCTCCTTGGAGCTTAACTGTTTCCAAGGTGACTTACTTGGCAACAGAACGTCGGGACCGAGTCAGTCTTCTATATCGGTCTGGATTGTCCAGTTCCTGAGCTGGTACTTCAGGATACTAATGACAGATGAGCCAGCCTGGCTCATTGGCAGGACTTGAAGAGACAGGGATTCTTCCCAATCTTGTTAACCATGCAAGCCAAAGCTCTAATGGGTAGGTGATCCCAGCTGGATAAACTGGAAGCTTTCCAGAATGTATCGGCAACCACAAACTCCAATTTTAACTGGTTATAAACTTCAGGGGCATGCCCGATGCTCATTCTTCGGTTTCCAAGCCATGGTTCTTGCCAGCTTGTGGCTAATGCTGTGTGGAATTGAGTAAGTGGGGTATATCCCTAGATGGAGTGTGCATTCCATTACAGACATGGAAATTTTTGTGCACATGTAGAATTCTTGTCTGTTTGCGATGAGCAATGAATACTGATGCTATTCACATCTCAATGCAATATTTTTTGAAAAGTTTTATTCAGTATCTCTTGTGTGCTTATTTTTCTCCTTTTAATTCTTAAGCTTTCTACTAGGCTTTATGCATTCTTAATAAAAAAAAGGTGATCAGTTCCTTTTCAATATTCTTGCATGTTCTGGGTAACTATTAAAATTCTTGTGATTTATATAAGATTTTTGCTAGAACACATTTGGTTGCACAACTTTTTAAAAATTCAAATAGTCGTACATTTCAAAGAATAGACTAAGGTGTGTTGACTAACAGATTTCTTCCTGAATTCAATGTATTGGTATAACATCCTTTGGATTTGAACCTCATTTGGATGTTGATTAACATGCACCTTAATGTGTGTGAGCCTTTTCTTAATTATCACTTTCAATCAGTTGGCTAAGATGCTCTTCGTAATCCCATTTTGTCACTTTCCGCATCTCTTGTGTTTCTCCTCTCCCCCCTCCTCCATGATAAAATTTGTATTTGATTGCTAATGGCAAGTATTTCTGCTGGACTATTTGTGCAGTAATTGCCTATCAATCATCTGAATTCTATGTAGTACTATAGAAACCTGGAAGGTTTGATTTCTCAGCTACTCTCCTAAAGTTGTTTAATATTCAAGAGTTGATTTTTTTTTTGGGGGGGGGGGTTATATAATGTCAAGAAACTGGCTTGTAGATTTTCAATGGAAGGAGAAGTGAGAAAGCAGAATAGGGATGGCCTTAGACCTTCAGCACGTTCTCTTCCAATCTCCATAGAATCAGCTCTAAACTAGCTTGTTTCGTGGGCTTAGATTTGCATATTGTTTAATGCAATGACTCAGCTTTAGAAAGTGTAACCATATACAAACTGCTGTTTTTATATTAAATCTTTTTTCAGGGTTTTATTCAGAAAATTGTATACACATGCACCAACTTGTCATACAAAATATATTTGCATTTGGTTAAACACTTGCGAGACCTTGGAAAAGTTTCGTACCTGTTTGCCCCTCTGCAGTTGTCAATGATGCATACTTAATAGATACATAAATCTTCATCAGTCTTTGGAGTATATCCACAAAAATAAAATGATTCTATCAGAAGTTACACAACTACTATACTATTGCACTATACCAGCTTCTCTTGCTCTGACTCTAATCCTCCATTGTCAATTTCATTAGTCAGACAAAAAATCCCGTTGTGGGCCTGTGCGAAGCCAGATTTCTAGGGTGTGACTTTCCAAGCACACTGCAAAAAAAATTATATCCTTACTAACCATGTGCAAAAGTTTGCATGTGCATTTTTTGTATCTCACAGCCCTGCTTCTGCATTGGAGTCTGATGCAGATAAGTGAGGTTGGATAATTGGAGTTTTGCTGTATTGGAAGTGATTTCTTACATATTCAAAACCATAGAAAATTATGGCCTACAATGTCTGGAATGGGTCTTTTAAAAAGCAATCCTTTTAGTCCCCTCTGCAAACATTTTACTGAGTGGATGATTTTATTTTCTTCTTACCCCACCCCCATTGTTTATATTTTTATGCATTTTTTTAGGTTGTGTATTATTTGTTTTTTTCTTCTCATGGCCAATGCAGTAAAGAGCACTTATAGTTATGAAGAAATTCAGTGGAGTGAGGTTGACTTGGTATTCCAGTGATTTTAAGCATGGTGTAAACTTATAAGTTGTCTGAATATTTTTGCTATTCAATATGTGAAATTGATAGTTGCAACTTTTTTAAAAAATCTCTATGTAGGATTTTGTCTTCTACGCTCCACGTCTGCGAATCAACAAACGCATCTTAGCACTGTGTATGGGAAATCATGAACTCTACATGCGACGAAGGAAGCCTGATACGATTGAAGTACAACAGATGAAAGCTCAGGCCAGAGAGGAGAAACACCAGAAACAGTTAGAAAGGTGAATAAAGAAAGCTGTTGGCTGCTGAAGAAATTGATAAAGAAACAAAATGTACTGTAGTATCGAGGGCTATACTAACAGACATTATTCCCACTGACTCCAAATGGATTTTAGAATCATCTACTTAGTGTTTTTGGAGCCCGATTCATGTTTATTTTTGAGGTTTTGGAATTCTATGTCACAAATTGAAAATCTTGTGAAAACCCTTTATTTTAACCGCAGTAATTTGATGATCTTTACAAATTTAAGTAGAATATCATTAACAGTGATTGTGTGTTTTTTAGTTGAGTAGAAAGTTTCCTATTGAATGTTATTTTTAATGCATTGTTAATTGGGTGGCACTACTTCTTTTTCTTATTCTAGTTTCTTTACTCTTATATTTTCTCTCTCTCTCCCTTCCGACCACCCCAAAGAGAGAACATCTTAGTGCTTTACAAGTGGGAGCTTGAGTTGTGGTAGGGTGCAGAGGAGAGAGAGCAAGAGAGTTGGGTAGTAGAAGATGCAGTCTATAATTTTGAAAGTGTACACGGAAGGGGCTGAGGAAGGTGGATTTCAGAAAAATTCCAAAATAAAGTGTGTGAAAGCTTGCCAGCCCATATTGGGAGCGGTCAGGGCTATGACAAAACAGAAGGAGTGGCCAAGGGAATAAGATTGCAGGATTGCTGGGGAGGCTGACAAGCAAGGAATTGGGAAAAGTCAAGTCTGGAGAATGGCAAAAGGAGTGGAGGAGGGTTTTGGCTTTATCTAGCAATTGTTCTCAATTTTTCCTTATTGTACACCTGCTAGAGAATGAATCGAAATGAAACTTGGTTAGGAGAGAATGAGCGATGCATCTTTCACTTGGTTAGTCGATTACTACGAGATGACTTATTAGCAGCTGTTCAGTGCACAGTCTTCAATGACAGGTTTGTCCTTGAGCATCAAGCAGGCAAGTCCAGAGCTGCCCCATGGCTCAATTTTGTATGTCTTTAGTGGAACTGATGATGGCTAATTGTTTGAAATTCTGCATGTAAGCAACAGTATTTGGGTGAGAAATCCACAAGAATAGGAGGTTAAAAGCCTTGCAGCTAGGATTTTGGAATTGATTTTTTTTTACATTCATGTTAAGATGCAACTGCAATGTTTCTGGTTATAAATATGGTTTCATTGCCAGTAGTGGAGTGCTCTGTGACTTGGTCTTGCAGAGGACTGAGAGTCTCTATATCAGTGGTGTAGCGATTATATTCTATGGAGTAAACCACTTTTAGTCTACTGGTTTTGATAGTTTGGGATTCTACTGAGTTCAGTGGGAGCAAGAAATAAGGCTGTTTTTTTCCCTCTTTCTCTCTGCTGACTGGCAAACAAGGTTAGAACATTCAATTGCTGATTTGAGGTATGCTTTCATGGAACACTTGTGCTGAAGTGTATTGGCTTTCTGGTCTTTCCTCTTTAATTTCCACTTGCCGAGAGCAATTATTATCTGGGTGAATGTAAAGAAATTATGCCAGTATACAGTACCAATGTTTTATTGTGTAGTGAAGTCTAGATTGGAGTTCAGCTAAATGATCCCAACCCTGCAAGCCCAAAGCACTGAAAGTTTAGGTTGCTCCTAGCTGGACAAACAGCAGGAAGCTTGACTGACAGCACTTGCAAAGGCAAGCTATGTAGTTTTAGATGGTTTGACTCCAGCAGTCCTCTCGTGCATATTTGCCAACCTGTGCCTAATACTTTCCAGCATTGGGTAAGCAGGACTCCATCAAAGACAAAGGCAAACAGGCAGAACTCTGTCTGCTTTGGATACTCTTAGTATGTTTGTATATGTATATTAAACTTCTAGCTGACTAAGAGAAATTATTTTCTCCTCTCTCTCTCCCCCACCCCTTTCTGGTAATGTTTTAGCTTTGCAAAAGGTTTGACCTTTTAGTCATTCTGATTGTATAACTGAGTATGTTAACTGTTGGTTCTCCTGTAATTTTGTTCAATGAGTTTGCTTGTGACTCTGCCACTCTATAGTGATCCTAGTTTTGATATGGAGATAAATGCTGCTTTTTTTCCAAAGGGCACAACTGGAAAATGAGAAAAAGAAACGAGAAGTGGCAGAAAAGGAGAAGGAAAGGATAGAGCGGGAGAAGGAGGAGTTGATGGAGAGGCTTAGACAAATTGAAGAACAGACGTTAAAAGCCCAAAAAGGTAATGGTATCAGTACATTTTCTTTGCACAAGAGCAGAGCCCAATGATCTGAACCATGTGGTGGTTCAGTTTATTGGAGGAAAGTTATTGTAAGAGCTGTAATGTAATTTTCCATTCAAATTGCCAAAGGTGCTGCCTTTTAGATAGGAAACTAAATGGGACTCGGGTGCATGTATGACTTGGGGGATAATACGATTTATAAAAATAAGACTTGTGCAAGTTTTACTGTATTTATCTGTTATCCATTTTTATCCTATTGTTTTCCCAAATTAACTGTGGTGATGTAAAGAGATTTCTGCTATGTTGGCTAAATTGCTTTCACAAGTAAACCTGTATATCAAGCTCTGCAGCAATTAACTTTAGGAATGGCAAATTCTTAATGTGTTCTGGTCCACAATTAGAGGGCTCACTCTTTAAAAATTTAAGCCACATAATTACTATCAGTCAACTTTTGTAATCCAGTTTGTATCGGATTATGGCTAGCTTCTCTTGCTTTTCTCCTTCTCCAACATGGCTCAACTTTCCCGTGCGAGTGAACCTGAGTCAGTCATAGACAGTGAACTATGGATCGCTACACAGTGGTGAATTAGTTGATTACCAACAGGGAAGCGGGGCGATCGAATTATCAGTCCACAACCCGTGTGTACAAAACTGGGCTCCGGCGATGGGGAAACTATCATTCACGGTTTCTGCTTGTACATTGTTCTCCACATACCCTTCATAACTTTTTTTTTTAAAAATCTTCCCGTAGAGTTAGAAGAGCAAACACGTAAAGCACTGGAACTTGATCAGGAAAGAAAAAAAGCAAAGGAAGAAGCGGAGAGACTGGAAAAAGAGCGTTGCAGTGCAGAAGAAGCAAAAGCTACCCTAGCCAAACAGGCTGCGGATCAAATGAAGACCCAAGAGCAATTGGTATGTCAATGTAACTTTGCTTCACATCTTTCACATACATAAGTAAATCTAGATGATGAACCTCATCACGCCAACATCTCAAAGTGCTTCATATGATTTATTGTAAAGTTCAGTGACTATTTTGTAGCCAATTTTCACACAGAAATATCCCATAAACAGTCATGAAGTAAATGGCCAATATTATCTGGGGGAATTGTTGGCCAGTACATTAGGAGAAACTTCCCTTCTCTTTCAAGTTGTGCCATGGAAACTTTAATGCCCACCTGAACAAACATACTCGATCTCAATTTAATGTCTTATCTGAAAGACTGCACTTCCAGCAATGCCATTCTCCAACAGCACTGCACTAGACTGTCAGCCTAGGCAATGAGCTAATAGTCATGACAAGCGTTAAAACTTCTGATTCAGAGATTAAAGTGCTGCACGACTCACACCCTGATGATGACGATGATAATGCGTTTGTTATAGCACTTATCACATCTTCGAGGTGTCTCAAAGCACTTCACAGAATATACTGTAAAATTAATTGACTATATATTTGTGGGCGAAACACAGCAACCAATTGCGCACAGCAGTGTCCCACAGTGTTGTAGATTGAAGTGACCAATTTATTTTTGTTTTTCTTGAGGGATTATTATCAGGCATGTGGAGTAAGGAAACTCGCCCAAGGTTTCACCCTGCTGGGAATTGAGCCCAGGCCTCTCACTTGCGAGGCGAGTGCTCTAACCACTGAGCTACAGCACTGCTTAATGTAGACTATTTGCACTTTCCTGGGAGCTCTGTTCAGAGACATTTCTCTTCATATCTATCGCACTGTGTAATTCTCCAGGTAAATGTATTTTTTGGAAGCATCTTGCCCACTAATTGTGCCACTGACTCTAGATCAGTCAGTTCGCAAGGGCTTGGGGCAAGAAGTTTCAAGGTTCCAATCAATGCATCCACTAAAGCTGCACCCTTTCAATGTAGATTCAAATATCTCTCTGCCTCCACCTTCAATTTCAGGACCACTGTTTTTCTGATAGATTTTGTCTGTCAGAGATAAAGTTCTGGATAAGATTCCAGTTGAATGTCGACAAGGCAGGAGCTCTCCTGTTTTGCTCCGGTCAGTGCCTTCTCACCACAAGTTCTGACAGTATCAATCTGCATGGATGCACACACCACCTCACCAAGCCATTGCAGACCTTGTTCAGTGTCTTGTTCACTCAACTATCCTTTAAACTTTTAAAATACTGGATACTTGGCTTTATAAATAGGGGCATAGAATACAAAAGTCAGGAAGTTCTGATGAGCCTTTATAAAACATGGTTACTGTGTTCAGTTCTGGGCATCACACTTTAGGAAAGATGTCAAGGCATTGGAAAGTGCGCAACTGAGATTTATCAGGATGGTACCAGGAATGAGGGACTTCAGTTATCAGTAGAGGCTAGAGAAGCCAGGATTATTCTCCTTGGAGCAGAGAAGGTTAAGCGGAGACTTAATAGAAGTTTTCAAAATTATGAGGGGATTCAATAGGGTGAACAAGGAGAAACTATTTCCACTGGCGGGTGCGTCAATAACCTAAGGACACCGATTTAAAGTAGTTGTTAAAAGAAACTGAGGAGAAATTTTTTCACACAGCGAGTTGTTTAGATCTGGAATGCATTGCCTGAATTGGTGGAAGCTGATTTGATAACAATTTTTAAGAGCAAAGTAGATAATTATTTGGGGAAGTCAAGTTTGCAGGGCTATGGGGAGGGAGTGGGATTGATTTGGATAGCTCTTTTCAAATAGCTGGAATAGACACGATGGCCAAATGGTGTCCTTCCTGTATGATTCTATGAAACTCCACATCGGTGCTCTGATCGGTTTAGCTTTCCCCCACTTCCGCAACATTGTCTGCCTCTGCCACTATGTCTCCCTTCAGGCCACCGAGACCCTCGTCTATGCATTTATGATTCCAGGCTTGACTACACCAGCTCTCTTTGCTCGCCAGACTTCCCAACTCTTCCCTCCACAAGCTACAGCCCATCTGGAACTCTGCAGCTTGTGTCTTCTCCTGGACTAGGCTCCGAAAGCCTATCACCTCCTTTCTCGCTCAGCTCCATTGGCTCCCCATGCTCACTTCTGGATCCCTCCATGGTCTTGGCCTGCTCTACCTTTGTGACCTTCTACCAATGGAATCACTACCTCTTTCATTGAAACACTGGCCTGCTTCTTGTTTTTCCCTCGCCTACCAGCAGTCGGCCTTTCTGCACCCACTCTCTGGAACTCCATTCTAGAATCCCTTCACCTCGCACCTTTCCTCACCTCCTTCAAGGTCCTTTTGAGACCTTCCTCCTTGACTGCACCTTTGGTCATCTTCTGTTACCCAGTCCCCACATCTCTGGAATCCAACCCTCAGTTTGGATGCATACTTTGATTGACCATCTGTCAATCTTGAAGCTATAAATGTGTCCTTAAGAGTGTGTATAATCCAATTAACTGAAATCGTTGAAAAATGCCTGTCTAGTCATTGCTTAACAGGCTGCAGAAAGTGTTTCTATTTATCTTACTAATTGTTGATGCTAAAATTAAAATATACAATTAATGTTAATCATTCATTTTTCTCTAATTGAGAAATTATTGAGAACTGCTGAATTTCAAATAGATTTGTGTTAGACTACTGTACAACCATTAGATGTCATCAGAGCACTTGTTTACAAAGCAATGTGCTCCAGTTGGTGATATTGTGTCCTTTTACTGATGCATCTTCGGTGATTACTTGGACTTTTGCAGGAGGTTCTACTTATTCCTTCATATCAAAAAATGTTCTTCAAATGGTATTGAGATGCTTAGTCTTTACCCCAGCTTTGTTCATTAAATCTAAAGAGAATCTAGCTGTAGAATCCAGAAGTTTGGCCAACAGTTTGTTGCATCTTTACCATACTTATTTTAACAAAACTTTCTAAATTAAACTATTAAAAGCATACCAAGTTCCTACATAATGAACAGTCAATAACTGTATGAAAACAACAACTATCAACAGGAGTTTTGTTTTAGTGTCGGAGTTGGGATTGAAGATGAAGGAAAGGTCTGGATTGTTTCTGAATTATTGGGGTTATCTGAGTTGCAGATTGCCCCTATAGAAAATTGCAGATACTGCTGTACTAAAGCAATGAATGTTGCTGCTAGAATGTAATCAAATTAAATTTCTCACTAAGGAATTGTTCACCAAATGATGACTAGATAAGGTTCATTTTGTGCCATGAAAGAAAAATTTGCCCTTATTTCTGTTGACTGATGAAGATTTTGTTTCTTTAAGGCTGCTGAGCTTGCTGAATTTACTGCCAAAATTGCACTTTTGGAGGATGCCAAGAAGAAGAAGGAAGATGAAGCCACGGAGTGGCAACAAAAAGTAATGTTTTGTTGTGAAACTAGTTTTAATAACTGTTTATTATCTCATTGAGCTGTTGACAGTGAAGTGGTGAATTTAGTATTTTTTTGGTCAGCAGGGTGTCTGACACACCCATCACCATGTTTAAGAGTATCCAAACTAAACTGAGAATTACATGCATCCCACCTCGGCTGGGAAATCCCAGCGATAGATTGTTGGAATGGAACGTGCACTTTCTCCCTGGTTACCTAATTCCGGAAAGTATTAGGTTCAGGTTGGCAATAGCCAGCACTCGGAGACCCCAGAGTGCATTTTTGGTTATTGCTGGAGTCTTAACAGCTAAAACCGCATAACTTGCCATTGATCATAAACTTGTGTGTATGGTGATGGGGGTATGCAGATACTGCTGTACTGAAGTAATGAATGCTGATGCTAGAATTTAAGTAAGTTAACCTTCCTGCTATGGAATTGTGCACCAAGCAAAAGGTAGAAGATAATTCATTTCTGAAGAGCTGAGTTTGGATATGTTAAACCCTAGAAGTTGTTGATGAAATGCTATTTCTACGCCATGGGACGTCCTCCTGACATGAAGGGCACTATAAAAATGCATTTTGTTGTTCTTGAATTCTAATGGTCAATCTGGGAGGGGAAATAAAAAAGCATAATTCTTTATCTAATTTTAGGCTGTGGCAGCTCAAGATGATTTGGAGAAAACCAAAGAGGAGTTGAAGACTGTGATGACTGCTCCTCCTCCCCCACCTCCACCAGTTATTCCACAAGCAGAGAATGAACATGATGACGAGCAAGATGAGAATAATGCAGAAGCCAGTGCTGAACTCTCATCAGAAGGGGTGGCAAACCATCGCAGTGAAGAGGAACGCATCACTGAAACACAGAAGAATGAGCGTGTAAAGAAACAACTGCAGGTGAGATTTGCTTGTGTGTATACATAGCCTATACGTACTTCAGATGTGAAGTCATTAGAGGGGTAAGGTACAAGAAGATACACACATCAGTTCACCAGTAAACATAGACCTGCAATGAAGCAGCATTAGCTTTTTTAGGCAGTATTTTACAAATTTTGACTTTGCTATTATGGTTTTCTATAATGAAGCTTACTTTTTGAAATTTTCTCTAAATAGAAATATATTTTGATAAGAATTATTTCTTGATGCTTTTTGTTATGATCAAAGTTCCTCTTAGAGCTAATCCCTTTAGAAATTTAAAATCACATGGAATTTTTGAAGTTTATTTTATATACATTTAGTATAAATGTGATTTTGTAATGTATTTGGTGTACCCAATTGCACTTTTGCTTTTCTTTCCATTAGCACTTGCCTTTCTGTTCCTGGTTTAGGTTCCTTTTGATGGGGTGTAGCTCCATAGGTGCAGCTGGTTGACCCCCGTCCAAGTAGACGTTGTTCATGTGTGAGCCTTGGCGGAGAGTGTCAGCAGCTCATTTGACTAAATCACAGCTGCCCTAGCCTTTCCCTACCCACTGCCCCATGTGTGTTCAGTTGGGACCCTCCCTGTTTGCTCCCCTCCTGCCTAACCCTGGGAAGATGAGGGCAATTTAGGCATTTCCCCTACCTCCATTCAACCCTGACTAAGCCCAGCAAACTTACCAAGATCTCATAGTCTGTGAGCTGCAGCGTGATTTGCAACACCGGGGCTTCCCCCCACACCCCATAGAAAAATCTCTTTGCTTAAAAGACAGTTTTTACAGGTTTAGGGAACTGTAGAAAATATGCTTCCAAGTTTTAAAATGTAATTTATTCTGTTGTAATCCATTTTGTTGGCAGCATATGTAATTGGTATTTTTCAGTGTGTCAGGTTTTTCACTTCTTATTGAAATCAAGAATATTGTTGCATTGAGACTGATCATAAAGTCACGCTTGTCTCAACAGGCACTGAGTTCTGAATTGGCCTATGCCCGTGATGAAACTAAGAAAACTGTGAACGATGTCCTTCATGCTGAGAATGTTAAGGCAGGCCGTGATAAGTACAAGACCCTAAGACAGATACGACAAGGCAACACAAAACAGCGTATTGATGAGTTTGAAGCTATGTGAGAGTGCGTTATTTCATGTTTTTTATGCAGCTGAACCACCAGCAGAGGAGCAAGCAGCCTGTGCAGATCATAACAGTAGTTTCACCTTGCCAAAGTATTGTATTGGTTAGACTTGCATGAATTAATTTGCAGTGAGGTTGAATGTAAATTGAGGCATTTGGTAATTATTCTTTAGCATACTTTTCAGTCCATTAACACCAGAACCTAGCTGGAACTAGCAAACGTACTGACGAGTATAACCAGCCTATTTCAAGTAAAATAAATGTTACAAGTTTAGCTTAGTTTCAGTAGCTTGTCATTAAAATAATAGGGTGTATAAAGTTTAATATAGAATAACTGATACATTGTGAGAACTGAAGCAAACTGCCTTAAATTGAAGAGACTACAATATTCAGGTCTAAATTTCAGTAGCTGAGTTGTAACATTATGTGAATACAATACTATGTCGGATTAAATCTTATTGTAGCTTTTGAATTTTAAATGGACTTTAGTAAGTTTGGTGTTTCATGTCTCATCATCATAGATGGTTTTCTTTGCCTACCTGTTCCACAAAGGCTTGGTCAACAGATGGCAGTCCAGCCAGAAACTAACATAGGAGCTGCTATCTACACAACACACAGAGCATAATGTTTTCACATTGAGTTTCCTGTGTTTGTATAAATAATATTGGCACAAGATGGGTATTGATGAACCTTTTTGAAATATCAGGCCTTTCTGTCAGGGGAGCATATGAAAACATCAGTCCCAAGGAGGGGACAGTATACTACCTCAAAATTATACACATGATGATTGGCCAGTCAAACACCCTCAAAGTAATGTACATCTTGTACAAGATAGTGTTAGGTTTTGATCTTGCATTGTTTTGCTTTGGCGCCTTTTTCTAAAATTGACTTGCTACTCGATCTAAATAGTAGCAAGTATTGATCAGACCGTTCAACGTTGTACGTGTAAAATGTTGGCACAGAGGTTTTTGTACTCCATTAACATTGGTGGTTTTGTTCTGCTTGTAGACATGTGAGAATTTCCATGTGAGAGACAACTTTGGGTGAATGATGCGACTTAAGATACAGGAATGTTGGGACGACCTGTGTTATTAAGATCTAATGATTGGCAATTTGCAGTAGGAAAGATCATGCACATTTTGTCTTGAAACATAATATCTGTTAATTTGCCACATTAGATAATCCGATTAATCATAGTGATCTACAGTCATTGAAGGATACCATAATGAACTGGAAATTTAGATTTGATGCCCTTGCTTCCTCTAGTTGGTTCAGCTAACTTCCAATTGGTATTATGCACTCATAAATCAGCATTTATTATCTGTAATGATGGTTTATTGTAATTGCCATTTATAGTTGAGGATTTAACATGCACAGTAGGCTAAAGATAATGATGGGCAATTCTTTTGTGCTCTTTGTGGCTATTATTGCAGATAAGATTTTGATTTACATCATGAATAAACATTTCTTTTGTAATTACAGGTGAGATTTTTATTCATTATCTGCTGAGGGATGGCTGGCAATTCTTGAAGACTGGTGTCAATGTTGTGTACACGTTTCAGAAAAGGCTTTGGGAGCTAGTATTTATACTTGCAAGGTGATAGCATATTGTTTTGATGCACTGCAAACCTTGCAAATTAGAGCATGTAAGTTACTACTTATAATCATTTTCCCATAGCAAGTAAAATACTGTGCTTCCAATTTTTTCTCTCCTCTGAAATGTGTGCACTAACATTAGGACATTGGTGTATTGGTATCAGTGTTGGATAATACAACCAGTTATTGTGTTTGCAGTTTAATATAACTATATGAGCTAGATACAAGAATGTTCATTTATATAATTATGAAAATATTTTCTGATCATGAGGAAAACTTTCTGAAGTACATTGACTTCTACGATGATGTAGCTAAAATGCAACCACTAGCAGTATAGAAGACCTATTGATATAAATATAATGCATTGGAACTTTACAAATGCTTCTCCCCTGCACCATGTACTGTGTTGTATAATTGAGCATAATTCTTTTGAACAATGTTCATTGGTTAACAATAAAGAACAGGAAAAAAAGTTGGTCTACTTTTCTTTTAGAAATGTGCACTTTCTTTCTCTCCCCTCCCCCTTCTCTTTGTCCTCATGAATGGTTCTCATTGAAGCTTGTACTGTATATGATGTGCTGTAGGGACCTACCAGTACAGCTGTAACCACTGAGGATTTCACAGTCATCTGTCTGTGTACCTTATCTACATTCTTTAAAAAGTTTGTCATGTTCTATTTAATTTTGCCCACAAATATACAGTCAATTCACTACAGTATATTTGAAGAGCTTTGAAATTTCTTAAAGGTGTCATAAAGCACTACATCAAATGCAAGGATTATTATTTTCATGAAAAGGAACTGGTAAACTTTCCTTAGAGTAGATGTCTGAGTTGGCCTGGAATGTATTAATATTTTTAATGTGATTATTCAGTTTACTTGGTGTCCTTTGAGCTGCACTGTTGGGTTAATATATGAATGGCTTGGCCTAGTTAGCAACACAGCTGCAGTTTTGTGTGGCTTTTGTCTGCAGGTGAAATGCTTTGTGTATTGAGCTATTTGAAACCACAAGAAGTACTTAATGTTCTAACACAGATGGGGGGGGATGAATTTCAGCTTTCATATTTTCTTTAATAAAAAGTTTGATTTGTTTTGCCACTGTCTAGGTTAGTGGCTTAGTTTCAAATTCTGTCAGCTAATTCTTTATTCTGTCTAAGATTTTTAAAATAAGACATTGATACCATTGATCACTCTATCCTCCTCCACCGCCTCTCTCTCACCTTAACCTTCATGGTTCTATCCTTGAGTGGTTCAGATCCTACCTCTCACACCGTCTCTACTTCATCTCCACAAACTGCTTCTCCTCCAGACCCCGCACCGTCTTGTGCAGGTTTCTGAGGGTTCTGTCCTTGGTCCCTTCCTCTTCAATATCTATCTGCTCCCTCTTGGTGATATTCACAGGTATGGGGTCAACTTCCACATGTATGCAGATGACACCCAACTCTTATCTCTCTGCCTCCACCCTCGACTCCAAGACCACTGCTGTCCTGACAGAATGTCTGTCAGACATCAAGTCCTGGATGAGAGCCAACTTTTTACAGTTGAATGTCAACAGGAGCAAGGCTTTCCTGATTGGTTCCCGTCCTCATCTCAGGCACTGACACCATCATCATCCAAGGATGCACACTCCACCTCCCTTAGCCATTCTGGAAACTTGGGAGTCTTGTTTAACCCTCAACTGTCCTTTCTACCCCACATTTGTGCCATGACCCTCTGCCTTACCCCACCTCCACAACATTACGTGGCTCCACCACGGCCTCACCCCTCGGGCTGCCGAAACCCTCATACATTCTTTCATCACATCTAGGCTTAACTGCACCATCTCCCTGCTTGTCAGCATTTCCAACTCTTCCCTCCACAAGCTGCAGATCATCCAGAACTCTGCGGCTTGTGTCCTCTTCTGCAACAGGTTCTGTGACCACATCACACCCACACTACCCTGGTTCCCCATCCCCCAGAGAATAGAGTTCAAAATCCTCACCTTCAAGGCCCTCCATGGCCTTGTCTGTTCCTACCTCTGACCTGCTGACCCCATATCAACCTGTCTGCTCCCTCCATGCAGCAGGCTCTGGCCTGCTCCACCATCAGTGGCTGGACCTTTAGCCTTTCTGACGCCACCCAATGGAACTCCATCCCACATTCCTTTCACCTTGCTCCCTCCTTCAAGGCATGTCTCAAAACCCTCCTCTTCAACCGAGCCTTCGGCCACCCTCCTACCCTCCCCTTCACCCTCTCCAATCCCGACCCCCAGCTTGGTTCCAAATTCCTGACCGTCCAGCGCCTTGGGACGTCCTCCCGATGTGAAAGGCACTATCAAATGTAATTTTGTATTGATATTGTAACTGTTTAGGTTTTGGAGCATTGCAATCAACTGGAATTGAAGCTTAAAAGCATGACCCTAACAGTTAGGATGATCCTAACTGGACAGGCAGCAGGAAAGTTTGCCAGACAATGCTTTTAATGACAAACTGTGCAGTTTTAGCCGGTTAGACTCCAGCAGTACCATAGTGCACAATCTGGGTTCCCAAGTTCATGCACCTAATATTCTCTTAACTGTTAAGCAGGATGTATCCCTCCAGGGGGAAGAGTGTGTATTCTATTCCAATACCGAATTTCCATGTGTAGCTGAGATGCACAGAATTCTTGTTTGGATATTCTTAAGCGTTAAGCATGGGCTTCCACATGTCAAACACCTGGCTGACCAAAAGAAAAACCCTACTAGCAAATATTAAATGAACCTGGGATTTTCTAAACTAGTATGCTTGTATATTTAAGAATGGAGAATGGATTGTATTAATGTTTATAGGGTATTTTTTAAGTCAGAATCTTTTCACAATTTCCTGTGATTTTTATAAATGAAAATGACAAATTAGTCCCATAAACAGTGATTTATTTTTTAAAAAAAGGCTAAACCTCTGAAGGAAAGAGGGGAGAGTGGAAATAATTAAATGTAGAAGGCTCCGGCATGTGATGCCCTTGGGTAAAGAATCCGGAAACAAACTGCTAAAACCAGTTATAGTATAATTTGAATTGTCTCCTAATAATCTGTGTTACTGAGCTCTGAGGTACCGAGCTTTGAGATGCCACCCCTCATGAAGGGTGCTTATATAAATGCTTGTTGCTTATAAAACTATCAGAAATGGATGGCACAGGAAAAGGCCAGTTGGCTCATTGTCTGCGCCTGTTCCTTTTAAGAGCAATTATTTCAGTTTCACTTCTCTGGCCTTTCTCCACTCCTCTGGAGTTGACTCCTTTTTAGGTATTTATTTTATTCCTTTTTGAAAGCCATTATGGATTTTGCTTCAACCACTGCTCTCACAGGACATTATGTATCCTAACTTGTGTGAAAAAATTCCTCATTGGCTGGTTTACAAATTCTTAAATTTATGCCCTCCGGTCACTGATTCACCAACCAGTGGTACTAATTTCTCCCTCTTGACTATCAGATCATCCCTCAACCTATAAAAAATACTTCTAAATCTGTTTCTGCCATGCCCACATCCAATATAATGAGGAAGAAATTGCACAAATAATTTTGTTCAACATTTTGTACTGTTCAATCCACAGTTAAAAAGACTATTCAATTTCTGAGGGGAGTGGGGGTGAAGAAAACCTGACCTTTTAAAGTGATTGTTTAAAAACAAATTCTAAGATTTTCATCTGAAGAATGTATTTCTATCTGACATTGACTGTGATCCAGAACGTACTATTTGGTTATTCAAGATGTGAATCCATTTTAAATTTAGGAGAAAGATAAATATGTGATGTAAAAGATGAGCACACTTTATAACGAGCTGTGCATCACAAGATTATTCGTTCTGCTTTGTCTTGCCACATAAAGAATGTAGAAGTGTGTGATCATAAATGAGGAAAATTGCTGTTTGGACATTGCCAGCGTTTTGGGACATCCTCCTGACCTGAAAGGCGCTATATGTATGTAATGTTGTTGTTAATTTCTCTTTGCTCGCTCTTTTGGTCCCCTTCACTCTCCCTCCGCCTGAAAAGAAGATTTCAAAGTATTGTCCCCCAACACGAGCTTTGTTTTCTTCAATCCTAAATAACATGATCCACTCTCCCATTGCCTCAAAATTTTTTTTTCTAATGCACTAAGTTTAAATCTGCATATGGACTGGTATTATAGTACCAAATTGCTTAATCATTCTACACATGGAGAAAAAATGTATCAGGTGACATTGCTTGGAAAGTAACCCCTTTCCAGTTTTCAATGCACATATGGGCGAAAGCACCTTTCATCTGCACTTCACTTTTGACGGTGTGTGAATTTATTTTGACTAAGAATGAAGAAATGAATTGCTTTTGACATTATGGAAATACTACATTTCAACTGACTGGTAATTTGTGTGTAAAGTAATCTTAGCCAATTTTCTTCTCTTTGGGGAAGTGTGCTTTTGTGCGTGGTTTTAACTTGCAATGTGGAAGCTCACGTACTTGTAATAAATTATATGCAAGATCTACTTATATTTTATCTCTCCCACATTCCCTTCAGATGCTATGCTCTCTCTCTTTCCCCCCCATTCAGAGGCCACGTTGTCATTCTCCCTCCAGAGGCTATATTGTGTGTGTTGTATATTGTTATTGTTTCTGTCTCTCCCCTTTAGAAGCTATATTGTATGTTTCTATTTATCTTTCACATGTTACAGTGTATAGCTCTCCTCATGTGGGGGTTACTTTGTATTTCCCTCAAAGGCTACATTGTATCTCTCTTCTAAGACCACATTGTATTTCATTTGCAGGTTACATTGTATCTTCATCTTATAGTATCTTCACATGTTACAGTGAATCTCCTGTGTTTTTTTTAATGGAATCCTGTAGCTCGGTGGTTAAGATCACTCTTAACATGGGTTAATTCCCGGCGGGGCGAAAC